ACGGCAGCACGAAGGCCAAAGCAATGGGGTAGAAAAGTTATTTTCAAGCTTAGGAGCTGTTCTTTAGAACAAAAGGCAATTTTACTGACATAATGATGTTGAAAAACATTCTTCTTTCCCCATTTTCTAAAGAAAGTATAACAAACAAACCTTTTCAGAGTTTGAAAGGTTCAGCTTTGGAATAGGACTCTGACGAGCTGACCTCTCACCATTTAATGAAAGTACAGTCACACCACTTACTTTGCTTTTATGATGCACTGAAGCCAAAGCCTTCCGAGTCCACTTTAAACGCTGTCCCTTGCTCACCCACGCAGGCCCATGGGGGTCACTGGGGACAGTGGTGTCAGGTTCTGCTGCCTTGTTGGAGGCCACGTGACAGTAACTTCATTTTGGCTCAAGACCCCTGGTCCCAGTTATGTATCCTCAGACAGCAAAATCACATAAACACCACTTTTCATAGTGGACTTTGCTTAGGAAGAAGAATGACGCCCACCCTGTATCATTGCTTATTTTATACTCATGTTCATTTAGATAAGAAACTAATGTTAACTATGTTTCTAGCTTGAGAAATATCATTGGCACAGACATTACTCTCGGGTCTCATCTAGATCATTAGAGAACTCCGTGTGGATGCCCTGGTTGTGCGCCCTGGGCCCGGGTTCCTGGCTGCGGCACCGTTGACACCCAGCGCGTCCGTCGTCATGGGCTCCTGTGCACCGTGAGATGTTCAGCAGCAGCCTAGCCTCTGGTCACTCGATGCTATTTCATTCAAAGTGAAAACCCGACTTTAATAAATGCATTTTCTTTTTTTTTTTTTTTTATTGATTAATTTTTGTTACAAATGATTCTCCTTTTTTCCCCCAGTGGTTCCCCCCTCCCCCTTCCCTCCCCGCCCCTTCCCCCGATTGTTGTCCATGTCCACTGTTCATGCCTATATGCATATAAATTCTGTTGTTCATCCCTCTCTCAGCTCCCCACTCCTTAGGGGATTGTCCTCAAACTGTTATGTTCATTATATTCCAGAAATCAGTGAGATCATATGAAATTTGTCTTTCTCTGCTTGGCTTGTTTCACTCAGGATGATACTTTCCAGGTCCCTCCATGTAGTCTCAAAGGACAAGAGATCTTTCTTTCTTACCGCTGCGTAGTACTCCATTGTGTATATGTACCACAGCTTTTTAATCCATTCGTCTACTGATGGGCACTTGGGCTGTTTCCAGATCTTAGCGATTGTAAATAGTGCTGCTACAAAGATGGGGGTACATATATTCTTTCTGATTGGTGTTTCAGGCTTCTTAGGGTATATTCCTAGAAGTGGGATCACTGGGTCAAATGGGAGTTCAATTTTTAATTTTTTGAGGTGACACCATATTGTTTTCCATAGTGGCTGCACCAGTCTGCATTCCCACCAACAGTGTACTAGAGTCCCCTTTTCTCCACACCCTCGCCAACACTTGTTGTTTGATGATTTGTTGATGGCGGCCATTCTGACCGGTATAAATGCATTTTCAAGGCCTTTGACTACCTGTCACATCTATAGTAACTTTCCCACACACACACCTTACGTCCGCGGCCAGCTAGAAGGCATGAAAACAGGGCAACGTTTGGTGCCAGGGCCGCACCACCAAGAGGCGACGAGCGAGGTATCTGTGCTCACCACCGTTCCTTCCTCTTCCACCACTCTGCCTCCCCCGTCATCGGCCAAGGTGGGTGTGGGTTGGGAGCCTGAACAGGTTCATTTTGAATTGTTCATTTCAATTAAATTTAAAACACGATCTCTTGAACATCTGCTCTATAAAAGACTCCGAGGGGAAGAAGGCCGTTTCCTGCCCAGGACAGCGCGAGGCAGACCTCTGTGACTCATGCACGAAGCAGAGGATTTCCCTTCTGTACAGCTTTTCGTGTCTCTGGGCTGGAAGTGCTTTTCCTCTGAACACACACACTTCACCTGGGTCTCGTACTGGTAGCTGTGCAGTTCTAGTTGCGCGTGTGCCTGCCTCCTCTCCCTCACTGCAAGCTATTTGTGCAAACTCCACAGCACGTACTTGGGCCTTGCACACAGGATATGCCAAGCGAATCTCATGAGCACGTGAGAGCAGAGCTAGAACAGAGCTGCATGCTGGAGTCGCTGTGCTGAGAAGGGGGCGGTCCGTGGCACCAGGTGGAGCACACGGAGACAGGATCACTGGAGTGGATGTGAGGCGACGTGAGAGCCAAGTTCTCAGGGCCCAATGCACGGGCAGCTAGCCGTAAGTGAAGATACCTCTTTAAAGAAGTTTGGTGACAAAAAGGAGAGCGACAGGTAGTAGCTTGATTGATGGCAGGATAAAGGCTTTTAAAAAATAATTTCAAAAAGGGAAGGTCTTGAATGAGAATTAGACTTCGAAGGAGAAATCGGCCAAGATGACGCAAGATGGAAAGGGAAGGCTTGATGGTTCTGGACCAGGTGGGCCGGTATGGATGGCGCCAGGTCACCGGTGGAGAACCTATCCTTGGAAAGGAGGGAGGGAATTCACATTACTTCGAAGGAGGGATGAAGGCGAGAACCAGTAAGGACAGGACTGTTAAGGTAGAAAGGAAGGGGAGAGAGGTCGTAAGATATGGCTTACACTTTCTTGATAAAGTAGGAGTCGGGAACATCTGCTTAGAGCTCTGGGGCAAGTCTTGGGCTTCAGCAGGGCAAAGCGAATGAGGTAAGAATGAGCCAGTGAAAGAAATGACAGGACTGCTGTGTGGAAGACCACGGCTGTACTTGTAGAGCAATCCGCCTAACGTCCCGACTACGCACACCACACCTGCAGCCAGGAGCAGACGAAGACGACGAGTGGAGATGCACCCGTCTGGGGCTGCTGGAACGAAGCGCCAGGAGCTGGGTGGCTGAGAAGGCCCGAGGAGTGGTGCAGGCTAGAAGCCCAAGCTCAGGATGTCAGCAGGGTCACGCTCCCTTTAATGGGTCTAGGATGATCCTTCCTTGCCTCTTTTAGCTTCCGGTAGCTGCTGGCACCTTGGCTTGAACATGCACCACACGTCACGTGGTTGTCATCTCCCTGTATGCCTCCACGTTGTCTTCCCTCTCTCTCTGGATCTATGTCCACATTTCCCTTTTATAAGGACACCAGTCATGTTGAATTAGGGTCCACCCAAATGACCTCAGTATAATGTGATGACCCTGTAAAGACCCTATTTCCAACTAACAATTCTAAGTACTAGGGGTTAGGGCTTCAACATATCTTCTTTGGGGGAGACAATTCATAACAGGTGGGTCCAGGAATGTAGGGCCGAGGATGGCAAATGGGCCTAGATAACGAGAGTGAGAAGAAACTGAAGGTACTGAGCATACTGGCGGGATGGCCAACCGTGGGGCCCAGGCTGGGAGGAGGGCAAGCAGGGTCTGAACTCTGGAGACCCAGGGTGAGTGACAGGGTGAAGGCTAAGGGCTTGCAGGCAGGGAGTAACAGGGACAAGCTGGTCTAGCGCCAGTCATGGGATGAGAGGAGGGGAAGACAGGCAGAACGGACTTCCAACTCTAAACTCTTGGATTAGCGATACGACGTTTGGCCATTGACTATGGTAGGCCAGTCAGAGGGAAGGTAATGTATTACTGTGAAGGTCATCCCCAGAGGCCAGGGAACGGAGAGCAGTTTCTCCATCCATGTGAACGAAATACAGATGGTGATACTGAGGAAAAAGACAGAGGACAACTGGCCAGGTCTCGGTCATCCAGGAACGTGGACCCTGTGGCTCAGGAGGCAAGAGCCCGGGGGAAGGGGAGACTCCCACGTGGGCGAGTTCCTGAGAGAGAGGCCAAGTGTGGAAGGAACCCGAGTGAGAGCGGAAGATGCAGGCAGCAGCCCAGTGGAGAAGCGGTCTCTCTGGTGAGGACCAGAAATAAAGCGCGACAGGGATGGATGGGAGGCAGACGGAGGCAAACGGGGGCTGAAGCACTGACGAGGAGCTTCACAGTGATGGCCATTCCAGAGCAACGGGGCGTCGGACTCGCCTTGAGCCTTCCTCTTGCTGTAAGGGAACAGCTGGGAGAGCCCTGCCCTTGATGCTCCGAGCGTCAGAAACGACTTCTGGGACGATCCTTCCTTGCCTCGTAGAGGACCGCCAGGTTGGACACCAACTGCAGGTGTACACGGAGGCAGTGTGCAGGGTGAGGGCAGGCCCCCGGCCGCGGACAGGGTGCGGTTTCAGGTTCCTCATTCGACACTGGGGTTCCGGGGCCTCCCTCATGGGGTCGCTGGAGTTGCTGGCACATAGTGAGTCCTCAATAAATGTTAGTGGTTGTGGTGGTTGTTATTACAAAAGCCACAGTCTAATGGAGAAGAAGAGTTGAATATATGTTGCTGAAAATCACAGTAACTATGATGATAAGATACTCTATGTCTCTCTCCCTTCCATGAAGGATAAAGAATATATTAAAAGAAAATACACCAAAAGAATCCCAGAATATTTATTTCCACAGGTTCTTTAAATGAAAGTACTTAAAGGCAAAATTACCTAGGAAGGGCTGCCCCCACCCCTTCACCAAGAAACCTCAGGGACTCTGGCTTTCTGAGTTTTACAATCGTTCCTGTCTCCCATGCACTGTAGGCCCCAGACCGTCTCTCATTTTCTCCAATTTCTCTGGCTGAAATGTATGTTCACAAGCTGTACGTGTGTGTACATGTGTGTGCACAAAGGCTCATATGACCTACTTAATGAAGGAGCTGAGACTGTGTTGGGAAAAAGTTACCCCGACATGACGGAGGTGCTCCCAACCAAAGAGGCTAGCTTTCTGCTCAAGAGCCCCTACATTCTAAAAATGCCTCTAGAGCACTGGTTCTCAACCTGTGGGTTGCGACCCCTTTGGGGGTCGAATGACCCCTTCACAGGGGTCGCCCAAGACCATCGGAAAACATATTTCCAATGGTCTTGGGAACCGAGACACCGCTCCTCTATCCGTCTCCAGGCGGGTCCGCCCACATGCAACGCGAGGAACTGTGTCAAAGGGTCGCAGCATTAGGAAGGTTGAGAACCACTGCAGTCTAGAGGTTCCTGAAATGTGAAAGCCAGTGGGTCCTGTACTGACTCCTGTGTGAACTTCTCCCAGTTTGGGGCTGGGAGGGTGAGACTGGGGAGCAGGAGAATGTGAGGGGTGGGCACCCACAGCCAGCTCAGGCCGAGTGCTTGCCCAGAGAGGAGAAGGGGGACAAGGTCCCAGGACGTACAGTTTGCCTCGGGGGCAGGGACAGAGGCCATTCAACAGTCGGTGCTTGAGACCGATCCGTAAACCATGCGCCCCCCCCATCCCTAGGTGACCAGGAACCATCCTGTTCAGAACCGACCCCCGTCCCTCAGGAACTACTCCGCAGGCCTCCAGAGCTCCTTTTGAGGTATTTAGCTGGTGGCCTCCGTCTGACCTCGAGGCACTTTCCTAGCTCCACAGCCCCGGGGACAGAAATGGGCAGTCTGGACGGCAGTCACAGGGCCTCGCATGTAGGACATCACGGCTGTTGCAGCACAAGGGGACGGCTTCAGGAGGGGGTGGGTGGAGGAAGCTGTGGGGCCGTCACGGTCGGTCGCGGCGACTCCCACGATGGGGCTATGAAGTCCTCGCGGCGGGGCCGGGCCGTGGGCCTGTCAGGCAGCCGCCTTGGCTGCTCTGCGAGCCTGGTGCTCCTGCTTCGCCCTCTCCCTCTGCTCCTGTTCCCTCCGGATCAAGTGCAGCCGCTCCTGATGCCACTGCTGCAGCTTCTGCTCGTAGGCGGCCGTGTCCTCGGCTTCGCAGGCGGGGAGCTGTTCTTTGATGAGCTGGGTGGTCAGAGCCAAAAGGCTTCCTGACTCCACTCTGCCCAGAGCCTGAAGTTGGGCACGCAAGGCCTGTTGGAAACAAAGGAAAAACAGAGAAGGTGTGTGTGGGAGTGGGAGCAGATGGAAGAACACGAAGAGGAAGAGTTTTAGTCCCCGCAGAATCTCCACACATCCCACTTGCAGGAAAAGGCACTTTGCTGGGAACCAGTCAGCTGCCTTTTATCCAGGCACTGACAGCTTTTGCTCCTTTTTTTTTCCAGCCCAGCATTTTGCTAGGATGCACTACGTGTGATTCTCCCCGTTCACTTACAAACAGTAAACAGAACCCCACATGCTGCGATTCCCTCTGGTTTCCTGTTCTAAACCACAAAGTCTTCGGCACAAGTACAACAAATCGACAATTCCACCCTGACCTGCAACGGACCGGGCAGCAACTCCAAGAACAAAGGGCTCTGAGATGCACACCCAACGGCAGCAGCAGCTCACACACTGGAGGAAGCCCATCCATACCTTTTCCTTCAAAATAACGGAGATAAGTGTTTGCCTGCCGCGAGTTCCTTTCAACAGATGGAAATAATTTCAAGGACTTCCTACTAATAGCATGCTAAACAGCTCCCATGAGTGCTTGCGCTAGTACAGGCTTCCACCTGCTGTGCTCACAGGAGGTCAGCCTTTGCATACGACTGCTTCGCGCCATCTGAAATGGCAGCTTGGTTTGTTCGTATTGTTCCCGGAGAAATACGAACAACGCTAATCTACTTAAGTGATTCAAAATGTAGATCATCACAGAGAGCCACTTATGGCTCCAACTATGGGTTACACCACATATCCCCATTTCCCCAAACAAAGGCAATTCACTCACACAGGCAATGGGGTCTGTTCCAATGGGGGGCACAAGGTGGGCAGGTCCATGGGCCCCAGACAAATTACCTGATACTAATAAATATCAAGCAACAGAAAGAAAAAGAAACGTAAAATGAAAATCATCATCCATGTGGTTTGAGCCCAAGCAGACAGCTTGGGACACCAGGACAAGGACTCCACTGGGGGTCAGAAGACCTGTTGGAACCCAGAGCCTGCGGGCTGGTTCCCCGGCCTTGGTGTCACGGCCTGGGATGAGCGCGGATGAAAGGCAGCGCTGTCTCGGGCACCACGAGCAGCCACTAAATAGTTGCTCTTGTCTTTTATTGATTTTCAAAAAACAAGTGTTTTTGGAAGAGTGAGGGCTGAGAATTTAATGTAGGTGGAGTTCTATTCTTCGAGATTAAATATATAAGAAACGAGGAAGAGGTGGTCATTTCAGGAATGGTGTGGCAGCCTGGTTAATATGAACATGGTAAATGATAATGTATGGGGCTGGGCAGACTGTTCTGTTGTTTTAGCCCTTGTAAATCTGCATAATTAGGCAAAGAGGAAAGAACAGGTATTTGGATTCTTAACCTAGCTCTACTGCCAATTTTCTGTGTACCTTGGCAACATCGATCACCCTTTCTCAGTTTCCAATTATAAAAGAGGGAGGTTAAGCAATGCTCTTACAGGAGAAACAACTGTAAAAGTACAATAGAATCCCCCTCATAACATGGGGAAACAGGCTTTCTATAGCTGGTTCTATATAATTCTGAAAATATTTAAAGGTAATAATCTGGCAAAATTTACACCTCTTTGTCCCAAAGTGGTATCACAGGTCAGCGGGCACGGATGGAAACGTTTTCTGCTTCATACAAAGAATTCTTCAGGCAGCACTTTTTTTTTTTTAAATCCTCATCCGAGGACATTTTTTCCATTTTTTTGTTCAGATAGAGTGGGAGGAAGGGAGAGAGAGAGAGAAACATGGATGTGAAAGGGACACATCGAGTGGCTGCCACCCACACGCCCAACCAGGGCCGGGGACAAACTGCAACCAAGGTACATGCCCTTAGCAGGAACCGAACCTGGGTCTCTCTAGACCACAGGCCAACGCTCTAACTGCTGAGCCAAACTGGCCAGGGCAAGGCAGCACTTTTTTGTTTAATCCTCACCTGAGGATATTTTTTCCATTTATCTTCAGATAGAGTGGGAGGGAGAGAAAAAAGAGAAACATAGATGTGAGAGGGACACATTGACTGGCTGCCTCCCACACGACCCTGAGCAGGGCCAGGGACCGAACCACAACTGAGGTACATGCCTTTGACTGGAATGGAACCCGAAACTCTTTGGTCCGCGGGCCGATGCTCTAACCACTGGGCAAAACCGGCCAGTGCCAGGCAGCACTTTTTCTCTTTGCACTAAATGAATGAGAAACAAAGCAAGGAGGAGACCAAAGGTCTAAACTGTGAACGTGGCTCTTCCTCTGTGCTGACCACATAACTGGGGTGTCAGGTGAAAGCTACCACAGGCAGCTCGAGTGCGCAGTGCAGTTTGGAAAGAAGCAGAGCGAACTTGTTTCCATCTCCACACGGTACAGAGCCATTTCTAACGGCCCTCATGCACAACACCAAGCCACCAAGACGAGCAAAGGAAGATGCCTGCATCTCTCCTCCATCCTACCCAAACGTGGCTCTGTGATCTCCCCCTGCACTGCTGGGGTATCGAGCACGCTCAGTGCAATATGTAGGAATGACCAGACCCTTTCCACGCGGGGCTGGAGTCAGGGGACTGCTTTCAGGAGGCAGGCTATCACCATCCAGCTAGCACATGTCAGGGGCGAGGGGGTAATGACATGCTGTCTCAGGGAACAAAACTGGGACCCATTAGTTCAAGTACAAACAGGAGCGTAGAAATTCCATGTGTTTCTTTTAAGACCTCTTCCAGTGTGAAGCAATAAAAATGCAGTTTCTGATGTCAGTTTTTAATGCCTTTGTGTGTACCACCAATCCGCGAAAAGACCGCTGGTCTGCCGCTAAGGCGGGGAAGCGTGTCTGTGCACAGCTGCGAGGGCCTCGGTCCTGCTGCCACTCACCTGAAATCGCTCCAGGTAGCGCGGAAGCTTGGACTGCTCGGTTTCCTCCACGTCCAACTGCTCCAGCAGCTCTTCCGGCCCCTGGCGGTCTTCCTCTCCTTGGGGCTGTTCCTCCGGGGGCCCGGGGGCCGGGGCCGTCAGAGCCTGCAGTGCTCTGCCCAGCACGTCGAGCTGTGGGGCAGAAAGGGGCGCGGCTCATCAGCCTGGGGCCCTGACAGCCCACCGAGAGGAGAGGCTGGGAAGGCAGAGGAAGGAAAGCCGGGGTCTGGGAAGTCATGAGAAGAGCTCTCTTACAAATTACAGGAAACAGGAATAGTTCTGTGATCTCCATTAGAAACACCCTGTCGATGGCATGGAAAACAGTACAAAGCAAATGACACAAATCAGCAAGCTCGGAATTAGTTGTATATGAATCAGCACAATGGCATTTGATTTCACTTTAAAATAATATATATTTTATTGATTTTTTTTTCTTTAGAGAGAGAGGAAGGGAGAGAGAGATAGAAATATCAATGGGACAGACAGACATTGATCAGCTGCCTCCTGTAAGCCCCCCACTAGAGATTGAGCCCCAAACCCAGGCATATGCCCTGACCGGGAACCTCTCAGTCCATGGGACGACCCTCAATCCACTGAGCAACACTGGCCGGGCTGATTTCACTTTTAATCAACCAGTTAGGAATCCAAGAATTAAGTTCAATGGGCACAAAGAATCTTCCCCTCAGCCCACCACAACCTCTGTGTCTTTCTTCCTCAGTTTGGAATTGGAAGAAAGGCAGAGAAACACCAGCGTAGAACACAACCAAGGGCCACTGCGCACGCATGGTGAAGCCTCTGAATCCAGGCGAGGGCTCCTGTAGAGAAAGATTTTATCTCTCAGAGTATCTGTAAATTAGAGATCAGCACAAGCCACACAAGCGGCTGGCAAAGACCAGAGAGGCACACACGAAATTCACTCAACAAGGTGATTCACGTGACTTGGAGAGTAAGTAGATTGTAAAACAGAGGGCTTCTCTGATTTTGACCCCTCTCCTCACCACTTTCACCTTGGGGCACACCTGCTCGACCCAGAGGGACTAGTCATCTGAGATGGCACAGAAACCACCCATGGCCAGCTTCAGCACCTGCTTCAACACTGACTCATTCTGTCCATGGCACATTAGAACAAAACCAGCAATACTCCGAGGCCTTTTGATGCCACTAATACATTGCACCCAAATCTGATACATGCCCCATTCTTGCTCACATTCTTATTAAGTCAGAACACAAAGAATGTAAATCTGGCTCAGAGTGAAAGGAACATTTCCCTGGCAAAGAATTTATGTACACTTTTGTTTTTAATCACGAGCACTGACTACAGCAGGGCAAATAGGAATATATGTTTGGAAATGTGTATGCTTTGTTATAAACGCCTGGCAAGTAGCATAATGGTTCCCTAGACATTTAGCATAAAGAGCCACTACAGGAACTAGACTTGCACATCTCTAGACTGAAATGAAAGACCAGTGGTGATCAGGGTTAAGGCAAAACCAATAATCAGCTCAAAGGTAACGCTTCCACCCTATGACCAGACAACCAATGTGCTTCCAGGCCGCACTCAGACTGCAAAGGCTGGACACTGTGGCTTCCTATGGGATGTAAGTGTCCTGTGGCTGTCAGATGCTGTTTCCTGTAGCCTGAGCTAAGTCCATTGACTTCAAGTGTCAAGAGTACGAGGTGACTAAGAGAGATGAGCTTTGGGGCTGACAGACAGGCTCCTAGTCCAGGCAACGTGAACTCCTCTGAACTCTGGAAGGAACATCTGGGCCAGACCTCAGCCCTGTGCGTTCACCATGGACCAGTTCAGTGACAGGGAAGGACGGCTGGGCCACCTCTAGTCCCCAGGTTTATATCTTGCAGGCTTGGGAAAAACTGCCATGTCATCTCCCAGGACTCTGAGGGCACAGAGAGGCCACAAATTTTAAATGAAATATGAACCAATCCTGAGCAGCCACTGAGATTTTATTGGGTAGTGGGCAGTACTGAATTCAGGGGTGGGGAAGAGTTTTCCTCCTAGACAGTGAGCTATAAAATCAACAACAATCTTATTTTCTAGTACATTTTGTCAGTGACATTGAGAATGTTGGTCGTTTTTCATTCCTTTTCCACAGGGTAAGTACAGGATTCTACAGAAATAAAAAAAGTAGGGGGAAGGGGAAGACAATAAAAACAAATCCAAAACTTGGCATCTGAGAAACAGGAGATGGCTAAGTCCCCCCGATTTAGGCCCAAGGAACATACCGCTTCTCCACACAGCTTCCCATCTTCTGGGGAGGAGGCCACCTGCTTCATCACCTGAAGGGCTCTGTCCAGGTAGCCTGGCCGCCACAGCAGAGGCATGTCATGGTACACAGCCCGCAGCCCTTGCTGCAACTCCACCTTCCCTGCGGCCAAAAGCAATAATGAAGAAAGCTCAGCCACACCTTCCCACGAGGAGGCCTGAGACTGAGGACTCGAAGCACACGAGACATTCACCAGGCAGCTCTAGAAATGGAGAAGGATCATTTCAAGTCTGTACCCCGGGTGCCATCCCACCAGCGACCTGGAGACATTTCAGGTGGATGACAGACCGTGGTAAAATCCACTGTCTACGTTTTTAATATACAATTTCATGAACCTGTTTTTCCTCTTTCACTTAGGCTGGTCAGGATTATCACGGGGAAGTTGGAAGCACAGGGCTGAGAGAAATCAGAGTTGGCAGATCTGCCTCTAAGTGGAGCTACTGTTATAAAATGAGTCAAACAACTGAAACACTATTTTTGTTTTAAGAATAAAATCTTCCTCAGAAAAAGAAATCCTACAACTTTCCTACAGTGAAAATCTTGTCAGTGGTCAACCCGCTCTGCCAAGAAATGCATAATCTTTTTTGAAATGTTCCAAAACATCCCATTGATTGTCCTCATGAAAAAAAAAATCTCATTTTGCTCTTCTGTCCTTCATTTTAACTTTATCAATACTTAAAGCATAAAGTCGTCATCATTCTTTGGCTCTCAGGACACGAGTGTTTCTCTTGGTACCTCAAAGCATCACCCCTAGGACTCAAGATTCAGATGCCGGACAGCAGGGCCCTCGGGTGGGCGAGGGGCTGTCTGGACTCCTGTGGCACCGATGCCCTCTCTGCACTAATGACCAAAGTCACCTTCTCTCAGGTCTTAAATCCACCTTCACTTATCTTTCCTGGGGGGGAGGATCTGGAAAAGCTATAGCAGGACATAAATAAACAAAGCTTATCAGGTGACAGCTAATTTTAGAGCTTTAAGATGCTCGGGGCCAGACTGCCCCACATTCTGGGAGCTGAGTGAGGCTGCCCAGCACGGGACACCACGAGAGCGAAGTGCTTCTGGTGTGACGGCTGCCGGTCCCAAAGCACCGGGCCTCTGCTCACAGACAATAACCGAGACGCTCCCTTAGCCCTGACAACGTCCGGAATGTGCCTGCAGCTCAAGAGTCCTGGATGCTGATTTGAAGGCAAAAACATGTAAATCAGTATCAAGAGTAGATGGCAAATAAGAACATGATTTTTAAAAAGTGGTCTACTCTTTTGTTAGTCTGACAGCCAGTCTGGTAAACTCTGAAATTCCTCTTTCTGAGTCAGTTTATATCAGAATCAGCATCCAAGGATGACACACTATGTTCCGTTGGTGAAGATTAACTTTAAAAGCAGCCAAACTACTATAACTTTGATGATGTTCAAAAAAACGAAGGTAAGCAGAAGCAATGTACAATTAAGCGAAGGTGCTTCCTCAAGTGCCTATCACTTAAGACAGAGGCTGAAAGAGTAATGAGATAATACGCATTTAACAAACCTCTGTAAAACAGGGCACATTTAATGCACATTTAAGTTTGAATGTTATTTGCCCAGATTCCACACAACCCAGGTTCTGAGGCCATGCTGCAGGAGGCTTCGTCCCCCGACCTGTTACCATGAGATCAGGGCACCACCACCCCCGCCCCGCCGCAGGGCACAGCCACACGGTATCAATGAGTCACTCTCTGTTTTCCCAAGTGCTACTAGGTGTGCTAAGTTTCTCTTCCCTCACCTGAAAACAATACTAAGGAGAGGATTTCAACCCTAACTCTTAATTTCTTACATCCCGGACTTTAGATCTAAAGAGAGAGAAAGATGCGTGTTAATACTGGAAAAGATTCTACTGGCTGGTTCTCCCAAGAGGGCAGAGCGTTCCTTTCTCTAGCCCTTCCTCACGCTGATAACCACTAAACAGAATCTGTGGCCACCAGCACTAGCTCTCAGCTTGCACATCGGTAACAGGTTTTAAGAACGCTCTTTATTGTCTACGTCGTGACTGTAAGGCCATCAGAGTCTATTTCTTTGTGTGTGCCTAAAAATGAAAACTGTATAGGAATTTCACTAGCTAATTTAAATCAAACTGTAATTTTACTATGAAGCAGAAGAGTGCATTAGTTCTATCCATGACAAACAGCATCTGTAAGGCTCATTTAGCTTACCAAGAAGTGCATAGCCATACAGCTGGGAACTCAGCCCCACGGAGTTCTTTTGCTTTAGGCCCGGGAGTAACAGGGATGCACCGAAGTTCCTCTCCTCTTCCCACTGCAACAGAATATACCAGATCACCGTCCAGCCAAGCAATGAATACTTCATGCAAAAATGTGATTTTTAGCCCAGCTGGTGTGGCTCAGTGGATTGAGCGTAATCCCATGGACTGAGAGGTCTAGGTTTGATTCCTGGTCAGGGCACATGCCTGGGTTGCGGGCTTGATGCCCAGTAGGGGGCGTGCAGGAGGCAGCTGATCAGTGTTTCTCACACTGACATTTCTTTCTCTCCCTCTCTCTCTAAAAAAATCAATTAAAAAAGTGATTTTTAATAGCATGGAGGAAAAAGAACATGTTATAGCATTAAGTTAAAAAAGCAAAATAATAAAGCTATAGATACATTATAATCCCAATTTTGTTAGTAAAAGGTATTTATGTTTAATGAAAAATGCAGAAAGGAAATACCCTATATGTTAACAGATTTCTGGCTAGTGAAATTATGAGTAATTTTGGTTTTCTTCTTTGTACTTTTCTTTATTTTCCAAAATTTTGGCAATGAATAAGAGCTCCTTTTACAATCAGAAAAGCAAAACAAAATAAACAGTACACTCTGAGCCAACACTGCCTGGGACAATCCATAAAAATTTGACATGCTGTCAGCCCAAATTCACTCCCATGGCTATGACATGACGAAGCAAGCTTTTGAATTTTAAATAATTCAGCAGTGATAAGATTTCCATTTGACAGTGTTAAAATAAATGCAACTATTAGGTTGCCTTTAGATAGATTTGTGCCTATCAAAAACAAGTAGGCAATCAGAAACACTTAGTGATCATTTCTTTCAACCCAGGATACAAAATCACACTTCAGTAAACTTGGAGTCTTTTTGAGATGAGAAAAACGGGGACAAACACAAGCACTGCTAAGCTTGCTGCAGAACAGTACCAGCAGTGACGGGGCCACTGGAAAGCGGGCTGGAGGAGAGCCCTGGCAACGCCCCACAGGAGCGCTGGAATCGTCTTGGTGCCACGTGAGTAAGCACTGGCTTGGCCTGAGCCCCAGCTCAGGCTTGGAAACACAGAACACAAAGCTCAGATTGCCCTGCAGGTCTCTGCACTCAGAGCTCAGGGAGGAAGCAGAGAATGAATTCTCTGCAGGTGACAACTGCAGCCCAGTGTAAGTGAGCCACCCCAGGTGTTAATGGGCACCCAAACCTTTTTACTGGGGATGGCCTTTGTGTAAAGAAAGTGTAATTTCTTAAGGTCTGAAAAAAGCAAAGTCCTTGGGAGAAAAACAAAACCTCCCCTGGCACTTTTGCAGCAGATAAGTAAAACTGCTAGTAATTAAGGACCAGGTCATTTTGCTTTCAAAAGCAAATCACTCTAGGTTGGATTCTCCCCCACACAAACTGCATGAAAAGGGGCCCAGTGAATAATGAATAAGGAGCCCTAAAAACATTTTTTCTTTTCTTTAAGGAAAAAAAAAAGATCTTTGGTATCAGAATGCAATCGGGCGAAAAGCCAAGTGAGCGGTGTCCTTGCTGTGCTGGGCAGAGCAGGTTGGTGATGGTGACTGGAACAGTAATACTCCCAAAGGACTTTACAAAGATGAAAACAAACAAAAATAAAATGAGCGTCTTAGAGGTGTTTTTAAGAAATGGTCCGGGAACAATGCAACCAATGCTAAAATATTAGGTGCCTTCTAAGCCGTTAGCTTTCTGTGGTATGTACTATTATGGACTAAGTCAGGTGCTATTTCACCAATGTCCTCTAGGTTTTTCCAGTTCATGCTTCTGCCTCTCCCATTACAAAGCAAACCCTCGTTTCCCCTCTTCCCCCTGCTCCACTCCACTCCACAGCTAGACATCTCAGAGCCCCTGCCTACACTTGCTGTCCCCTTTCTGCGCCTCTCACTCACTCCACAGTCCGTTCCAATTTGAGTTTCTGCTCCATTATTCTATGGAAACAAAGGTTACAATTTTGTGCCTTCACGCACTAAATTTAATGAGCTTTTCAGAAGCATGCTATGTTGCAGACCACTCTCCTCCCACGGGTTTTGTGGTCCACACATTCCTAATTTTCCGTTAGCGCTGTGGCTCATTGGTAGACATTTACACATGGATGTATAAATTTTACATCCAGTCCAGATTTTCCCATTAAGATTCTAATTTCCCTTGTGCAATCTCTTGACTATCTCAAAATGCAAAACCTTCAGAGCCAAATTAATGATTTTCCTCATAAAACCGAGTCTTTTTCCAGAGTTCCCTTTGCAAACACATGGCAACCCTTCTGTCCAGATACACAAGTCAGAAACTGAGGAGATAAAATTTGATCCCTACTTCCCTGCCTCCCCATCTAGTTCACCATCATGTTATCTGCCTCCCAGGCATATCCACTGGCTACTCTCTAACCCCACCACGTCCTGGTCCCCAAATTACCGTTACTTCTTGCTCGACAACCATAATCTTCTCCTAAGTGCTCTGACCACAGCCATCTGGGCCACACTCTGGTCTTCCATGCACATTACAGCCAGAGGCATCTTTTCAAAACACAAATCTGATCCTGTTTCCCCTCCGCTTACAATTTTTCAATGGTTTCTCACCATTTTTAGAATGAAGACAAACCAGTTTAGCACGATCTACATTTTCCTACATTATCTCCCCTATGGCCCTCCTTCCATTCCCTCTGTGCAGATACACTGATTATCTCCCTATCTTTTTCCAGCCCCCTCTGCTCACCATCTTCTTTCTGCCACAGGGCTTTTGGACATGCTATTTCTTCTCTTTGGATATTCTTCTCCTCTTCAGTCAGTTAATTCCTAGTCATCCTTCAAATATTAACCCAAGAACTATTTCCTTAAAAAGCCTTTCCTGCCCTGGCCAGTTTGGCTCAGCGGTTAGAGCGTTGGTCCGCAGACCAGAGAGTCCCGGGTTCCGTTCTCGCTAAGGGCACATACCTCGGTTGCAGTTTGTCCCCGGCCCTGGTTGAGGTTGTGTGGGTGGCAACCAATTGATGTGTCTCTCTCACCATCGATGTTTCTCTCTCTCTCTCTCCCTCTCCTGCTCTATCTGAAGATGAATGCAAAAAAAAAAAAAAAAAAAAGTCCTCAGGTGAGGATTTAAAAAAAAAAAAAGCCTTTCCTAACCTATCTAAGTTTAAAATACAAACAAAAAATTCCCTACAATATAGGCTTTTCACAGACATCTTTGTAGTGCTCATTATAGTCATAATTTTGTATTTGTGTGTTTGTTTCATTGTTTTTAAATGCCTGTATTCTTCTTAGAGTGTAGGCAGGAAATGTTTGCTCACCTCTGTGAGCATATATGGAATGTCACAGGTACTTAATATATATTTAATGAGATGATGAATGTGGTGTTTGCCATAAGCTAGGACACTCATCTTAGAAAAGCAAAACACACCATAAATTCTTATGTGGGCTGGACTAGATGACACATTCAGTTCTTAACCAGACTAGAATTTTTTTAATGTCATATTTGAGGCTAAGGGCAGATAATAGGACCAGACTTCATGGCTTCATGAGGCGGCTTCATGCTATCAACTGACATCTCTGTGCCCCAGTCTTCTCATCTGTATAGTTGTGAGGATTAAATGCATCAATAAATTTAGAATACCAAGAATACAACCTGGTATAAAGTAGTGCTATTTAAATATTACTGTTGTTATTATGGTTGTTATTCTTAGGACAGCAATAAATGATGACTAAATACCTAGCCTAAGGGATAAAATTAAAACTTGGCATTCTGGAGGGGCCAGTGCAACCTTAGGAAAATACTGATATCGATCAAGTGTTCTTTATTTCATACCTAAGGTTGTGGTCAAAGTCAGAGCCTCATTGCTTCTTCGACAGGCCACGCCCAGCTCTCCCTGGCTATCAGTTAGCGTTTCTGAATGTCTGAACACACGAACTAGCTCAAGTTTCAAAATGTGCCTGAAAGCACATTCACGTGAGATTCTCTCGAGTGGAGGAACATCCAGTTCCACATTGCTAGGGACCGGTAGCTACAATGTACAGAGTGAACGCTCATTCCTCCTTGCACTTGGCCGCAGAGCTGCACATCAGAGCTTCTCCGGGTTCTGAGAGCCGGGGTTCCTCTGGCCACCTCCTCCCTACCGAGCAGCCACTGCTTGCTTTTTCTAAGGCTCTCGGGACTGCTTTAGGGTAGACCACTTACGGTGAAGTCCGTCTTCTTCGCCAGGCAGTGGTATATGACATAGAGGGAGAGAAGTTGGGTGGAACGTACTTCAAAGGCTTCTTGCATCATGATCTCAAAAACCACAGATAAAGCATCTGGCAAGAAGATCAAAGTAGAAACAAGAGCAAATTAGCTGCAGGTAACATCACCAAATCTGTATTTAACTATAACTATAGTTTTATAAAAAGTGGGGCGTGATAGAAAAATAGGCAGAATTAAGAAGTAAAAAATGTAGCTCTGTTCCTAGTTCTTTCTAAACCTTAGCTTTTATTGTAATACTAGTAGGTACTAAACCAGGTGCTACTGCACCACTGTCCTCAAGGACATTGAATAAACCACTTAATTTTTCCTACTATCATCTTCATAATGATAAAATACCATTTGTCGCATCTATTTCAAAAGAGGGTCAGACAGTTAAACAACATAATACCTATGAAAATACCTCATAAACTGAGAAGCAAGTTTAAGGCAGCACATCTGCTAGCTGGAAGAACTAAGGCATACCGAAAAGAGGCAAATCTATTTTCTAGGTCACCCTGACAAGCAGAGTGGGGCTGGGCTGACTGCTCCATTCCATGTTCTGCTACCTTCTCCTTGTTAGGGAAAGGAGGACAGAGGCTAGAGGCAACCCTAACTCCCAAGTATTATTTCAAAGACAAAAAAACTGATGACTATAAAAAGGGCAATCGAGCTCAGTTTAAGACTTGAATGAAGGAACAGGAAAATGCTCCTTCATAAACGATAAGCACTTGAGTGTAATATACAACATATTTGTTTCCACATGGACACTTGTCAGAGGAGATCAGACCTTGAGCAATTTTATTTCCCCTCAATATTCCACAGAAGCCAATAAAATCAAGTTCAAACAATTTCCTTTTCTTAATATTTGTTGTTAAATTAGAAAATGTTAATATTAGTTTAAAATGTGGTGCCTGCATATAACAGACACAAATATTTTTGACTAACTGATTGAGTTGCTGTGTTAACCAATTTTTGCATGCACTCGTAATTATGAGAGTTTGGACTGATTTGCAGCTGTTCTAGCCAGCTGGTTTTGTACGTGTTGTCAAGATTTGAAATGAGGCTACAGGCAAGGATTTCTATATTCTTTTCACAAACGGGGAAACTGAGACAGACAGGCAGACCAGGATCTAGTCAATAGCAAAATAATGACCTGGAAGAGAATAAAAAAAAAGAAAAACAAACAACACACACACACACACACACACACACCCCCGCCCCAAATAAACCAATATTTTAAAAGAACAAAATTAAAGCTAAAACTCCAGTTTTTAAAAAAACTACACATGAAAAAGAAATCAAATTTACTTTATCTTTCATTATTTATATTCTGTATTTTCATCAGCTTGGGAAGTAAAATTAGATTGGTCTGTATAATTAATTTATTTTTCCTCCATAATCATTTATGTACTCTGATATTTCCTATGCTAACAACAATAAAAAATATATTATTTTCTAATTTTTCCCATAAATGATAACTTGTATAAAAACTTTATTTTGATACAAAAATTTATAAAAAAATTATAAAAAAAATTCCTGCCCTGGCCGGTTTGGCTCAGTGGTTAGAGCGTCGGCCTGCGGTCTAGAGAGACCCGGGTTCGGTTCCCGCTAAGGGCACGTACCTAGGTTGCAGTTTGTCCCTGGCCCTGGTTGGTCTTGCAGGTGGCAACCACTCGATGTGTCCCTTTCACATCGATGTTTCTCTCTCTCTCCCTCTCTCTCCCTCCCACTCTATCTGAACAAAAAATGGAAAAATGTCCTCGGGTGAGGATAAAAAAAAAAATTCCTAATATTAATTACTTACTTTGCCTTTAGGAAAAAAAAAACTCCTTTGATCCTTCCAACATATGTTTTATTTTATTTATTTACTTAAATGTTTTTACTGATTTTTTAGAGAGAAAGAAAAGGAGAGGGAGAGAGAGATAGAAGCATCAACGAGAGAAAGAAGCACTGACATTGATTGGCTGCCTTCTTCACGCCCCCCACTGGGGATCGCGCCCACAACCTGGGCATGTGCCTGGCCAGGAATCAAACCAGGGACCTCTTGGTGCACAGGTCAAAGTTCAACCACTGAGCCACACTGGCCAGGCTTATTTATTTATTTTTAATTGAGTTTATTGGGGTGACACTGGTTAACAAACCATACAGGTTTCAAGTGTATAACTCAACAAAACATCATCTGCACACTGCATCGTATGCCCATTGCTTCCAACATGCCCTTTAAAGAGAAAGTGAGGGGAGAAAACTGCTACCACACAATTTTCCAATGATACAGTAATATGGATTCTTAAATTTGATGTTCAGAGAATAGATTATGAAAATTAGACTATGTGAAAGCAAATTATTTTTCAGTTGATTCAGAAAATGCATATTTTAAACTGAGTAAGAAATGGACAACAAGGGATAATTAACATTTCAAAACAAAGGAGCAAATATCCTTCGGCAGTCAGCAACTGCAAGCCTACGAGAGAGAAGTTAAGCAGAGATCCAAGCGAAAGGAGAAGGGTGCCCACACTAAGAGCAGAAATGGTTAATCCCCAGCCTAATCATTGAGTACTTTTGCTATGGAAAAGGCCGGGGGTGCTGGCATGCAGGGCTGAGGGGATAAAACCCAAAGACTGGATTGCAGATGTCATAAGTGCACAAGTGACCACCAGTGCTGTAGTGCTACAGCAGCACATACACTACTACAACTGGAGCGATACAGAGAAAATTGGCATGGCCTCTGTGCAAGCATCACACACAAATTCATGAAATGTTCCATGTTTTTAACTCAATGAAATGGAGGTCAGCAATACACCAGATGCAGAGTTCAAAACAATGGGTATAAGGATGCTAAAGGAACTTAGAGGAAGAATGGATGAACTCATTCTTTGACAAAGAGATAGTAAGCATAAAAAAAGGACATAGAAACCATAAAAAAAACCAGTCAGAAATGAAGAATAAAATATCTGAAATGAGTAATGCATTAGAAGGAATCAACATCAGCAGGCTAGATGAAGCAGACAATCAAATCAGCAATTTGGAAGACAAGGCAGCAGAAAACACCCAATCACTGCCTAAGTGACCATCCGTCCACATTCATGTTTCTGAGGTAGTAACTCTGTCTTAACACAGGTGTGGTTCTCTCGTGGCTCCTCAGTACCAACCAAGCCTGGATGAAATGGTGGCAGGGGAAAGCCAGTGTGTGTCCTTGTCCTTACACAATGGCCAGGCCTCCTCTTTCCCACTGCACTGTTTGCACAGCTGCAAGCACAAGTGTGCTCGACTACAATTCTGTCCACTGGAGACTGGCAGGGTCCCATCCGACCACTGTAGTCTGTTGCAATCGCGATCTTTCCTTGGCCTCCATTACTGTGGCTGAGGTTAAGAGCCATGTTAAATTAACTTCACGGAATCAGAGAATTTGGGGGTAAAGAGATCCAGAGATGACCGATCCACTTATTTACAGATAAATAAAATCCCAGGGAGGGGAAATGACTTTCCTTCCTAGTGACTATGCTGCTCTTTCTAGGAAAAGTCAACTGATTTGATAGTTTTATATTTTACATAATACAACAACTGTGATTTAAATAAAACAAAGTTAGCAAATGGTGCCAAAAACTAGGGGGTAATCTAGTAATAGCATTACTATAATCTTAACTAGCCCTGGAAACTCAGGCAGGGATTTTTGCCTAACTAAATTCACTGTCCTTTGCCCAAAGAGACATGAACAAATAAACTTGAGAAACTCAGAGCAAAAACACCTGCACACAATTTTCCTCTCTGGCCAAGTGGTATGATCAACTATAAATCTGTCTCTGAGTAAAAGAGTGATGTAAAGAGATGTCATTAAGAAAGAAAATAAAAGGGGAAAGGGATTACATGTACTTCTCTTTGGGAGCTGAAGCCCCATTATAAATGAACCTGGGCTTGGTTTCTTACCTTTGTAATTTTCTTTCTTTATGAAATAATCCAGCAGTAAATTGAATGTAAAGTTATCTGGAAAAATTCCATACTGAACCTGTAATGAAAATGAAAATAAAAGAAAAATACCACTTTAATTTGATTTATAATATATGCTTATGTATTATTCAGGAGGAAACGTGCCACCATTAGTTTAAAAATATTTGACTATCATTTTATAGCATCTGTGACAGAGAAGTGGAAGCTGTGACTCATGAGGTTTGGTAACTGGAACTGCCGGTCAGGGTGAGCAAGTTGTGGGTGATTGGTGTGAGACAATGGATATGTGAAAAACAAAACTCAATTCTAACACCTCACCATAGCTAATGCCCCCCCCAAACAAACACAAAAGCATCTACCCTCTTTCCCCCCATACTCTACTGGTTCAGAGATTCTTTTTATAAGGTATGAATATCAATGCAAAGATGGGCCCCCATAAGAAAGTACACATCATCACCTTATGCAGCATTTTCTGGTCCTTAGACTGTCTTTTCTCCCAACTTAATTGAGATATAATTGGCAATAACACTGTGTAAATTTAAGGTGCGCAATATGATTTAATACACACTATACTGAGAAATGATTACCACAATAAAGTTAGTTAACACATCCATCAGCACACATTATACAGTACACTATAGTTAACTACAGTTACCATGTTGTACATCAGATCTGCAGAACTTATCCATCTTATAGTTGAAGGTTTGTATTTTTTGACCAATATCTCCTCGTTTCCCACAACACCCAGGCCCTGGCATCCACCATTCTACACTTCATTTCTATGACTTTAGTTTTTTTAGATTCCACATATAAGTCACATTATAGGGCATTTGTCTTTCTCTGATTGACTTACTTCACTTAGCATTATGCCCTTAACTTTCGTCTATGTTCTCACAAATGGGAGGATCTCCTTTTTTATAGCTTAATAATATTCCACTGTGTATACAGACTACATTTTAAAAAATCCATTTATTCACCAACAGATACTTAGGCTGTTTCCATGTCTTGGCTATTGTGAATAATGCAGCAATGAACACGGGGGGTGTATATTACTCTTTAAGATAGTGATTTCATTTCCTTCATATGTATACCCAGGAGTGGGGTTGTTGAATCATATCGTAGTTTTGTTTTAATTTCTTAAGAAATTTCCATACTATTTCCCATAGTGACTGCACTAATTTACATTCCCACCAAAAACGGACAAGGGTTCCCTTTTCTCCACTTCGTTGCCAGCATCTGTTATCTCTTTGTTGTCTCTGACTGCTTTTTTGTTGGTGGTGTTGCTGTTTCTGTTAATCCTCACCCGAGGGTATTTTTTTTTTAAATTTTTTTTCTTTATTGATTTTAGAGAGAGAGAGGAAGGGAGAGAGAGAGAGAGATAGAAACATCGATGAGAGAGAACATCGACTGGCCACCTGCATGCCCCACACTGGGAATCAGGCCCACAACCTGGGCATGTGCCCTGACCGGAAATTGAACCGGCGGCCCCTTGGTACATGGGTTGATGCTCAACCACTGAGTCACACCGGCCGGGCACGAGGGTATTTTTTTCATTGATTTTTAGAGAGTGTGGAAGGGAGGCAGGGAGAGGGAGAGGGAAAGGGAGAGGGGGAGGGAGAGAGAGAGTGAGAGGGAGAGAGAGAGAGAGACATTGATGTGAGAGAGACACATCGATTGGTTGCTTCCCGCATACGCTCCAACTGGGATTGGGGATTGAACCTGCAAGCCAGGCACATGCCCTTGACCAGGAATTGAACATGTGACTCTTCGGTGCATGGGCCAAAGCTCTAACCACTGAGCGGTACTGGCCAGAGCTTTGCCTGGTTTTTAAAGACCCAAGAAATATGCCAATGAAATTCCTACTCAAGCTCCTTGAATGTTCTGTTCACAAGCAGTTGAATATATGAGATTCCAGATTTCTCCAAATGTGGACTGTTCAGCATCTGCATCAGAATTTTCCAGGAATGCTTTTAATGTGCAGATTTGTAAGCCTTAGACTTACAGAATCAGAATCTCTGGGAATGGGACATAGGACCCTGAAGTTTTAGTGAGCTTCTCATATAATTTCCATGCAGTCAAGTTTGACTACTGATGATCTAAACTGTGTTATATTTTTGTTTGTTTTACTCCCTCCCTCCCCACCCCAAACACCAGAAATGCCTGAGGAATTTTTTCAAACTATACCTATCCTCTTGGAACATTCTGATGTTCCTAACCCCCCAACTATGAATCACTGCTGAATATCACTCTTGGCTGCATGAGATGCCTCAGGCGTGCTGAAATAAAAAAAAAACTGTTTAGAAGTCACTGTTTGAAAGGTTGGAGCTCACGGGCAGCATCTATATTTCTCAAAACAGTCAGTCACCTAAATCATCATTAATTTGTAGGGGCATGGTAAAAACAAAATATTTTAGAACAATACCTCATTAAAGCTAGAAGGAGCCTTAGAAAGCAACTGGTCATTGATTCTCAGCTCTAGCAAGACAAATCAGAATGAACACGGGAGCCTTAAAAAGATACCAATGAGGGATGAGTAGGCAAAACATAGAGGACTTTAAATGTAGTAAAACTACTCTATAAGGTGCTCTAAGAGTAAGATACATGTCATTATACATTTGTTCAAACCCATACAATGTACAGAACCAAGAATGATCCTTAAACTATGGACTGAGGGATTATGATGTGTCAGTGCGGGTTCATCACTTGTAACAAATGTACCACTCTGGTGAGGGATGTTGATAATGGGGGAGGCTGTGCATGTGTGGGGACTGGGAGCAGATGAGAAATCTCTGTATCTTTTGCTCAATCTTTTGCTGTGAACCTAAAATTGCTTGAAAAAAAATTAAGTCTATTAAAAAATACTAATGCCTGGGCTCCAGAAAGAGATCCCGGGGGTACAGAAAAGCATCTACACATTTTAAAAGCTTCTTGTGTAAATCTAATGGGTAGCCAGGGTTGGAAATCACTGATCTAGCTCAACTCCCTTCAAGGTGACAAAACTAAGACGTAGAAGGATAAATTATTTGCCTGAAGTTACAGTGGAATTGATGGGATTACAGCCCAGGTGTTCTTCCTAACAAAGAGCAGGAACGGCAGATTTTCTGCCTTTCGAGATCCTTCTTGCTTTGTTTTCAGGAGAATCTTCTTTTAGTATAACTTGTGTCATTAAACTAGGAACTGAAGAGAGCAGAATTTAATCTGTTCCTTCCCCTGGGGCCTAATATTCATCAGTGAACCTGCTTATCTGCCTTATTAACTCATAAGCGTACGGAGGGCAAGAACGGATATTATTCACTGTTGTAGACAATGCCATTCCCAAAGCAATGCCTCACACAAACTGTCTGCAAGGTCTATTAAGTTGACTGAGCCCAAGTCATGAGAGAAAAAACTCCCAAGACCAAAACTGGTTTTTCCTTTTGAGTTTTAACATACAAGGTCCAACGATACTATAGAAATAATATATTTTCATAGAAATATTGTTAAAATCTTTTTAGTGTCGTAGCTTGAGACTCACAATAAAAACATTCTAAACTTTTGCTTATTTTGCATTTTATTGCTTGAGGGCAGGGGTCAAGGAATTTAGAAGACATGCTTTGAGTAACCTAGGCATAAGTCTTTTTAAAATGTGTAAGATAGCCTGAATACTAGGGTCTTGACTTTCCCCCTAAACTTTACTAAAGAGAACCAGGCAAGAAATCCAAGGCTTAGCAATCAAGAATGAAATGAGCACCTGAGCAGAGTTCTCATGAATGGACCACCTTTGCTTCTACCTTTCCATTTCTGAGTCATGTTGGGAAAGCAGCAGCTACAGGAATTTTTATTTTTAATGTGGTGATTAATTTATATCTAGCTCTTGGAACTGAGAGGTCCCGGTTCGACTTCCGATCAGGGCATATGCCCAGGTTTTGGCTTGATTCCCAGTAGGGGGCGTGCAGGAGGCAGCTGATCGATGCTTCTCTCTCACATCGATGTTTTTATCTCTCTCTCCCTTCCTCTCTCTCTAAAAAATGAATAAAAATGTATTAAAAACAAACAAAAAATTTATATCCAGCTCCATTCTAAAAAGGATATCTGAGGGTAAGTAATTTTAAAAAGTTATTTCTTATACTATTTTTGCTGAAATAGGTTCAAACACTGTATCACTGAAGCACAGAAGAACAAGCTGGGAAGGCCAGGAAGGCACTCACCTTATTTACAAGGGTATATAAGGCTTTGTCTTGTGCACCATATTTGAGACACTGCCTAATCCAGGTGTGGATAGTCCAGTCTCTTAGGTACCAGCAGTTGGGGCTGTGTCGGAATCTAAACAAAGCATAAGAAGAGAGAAAAACGGGTGTTAACTCTTACATGTCAATGTCAAAATACATCTTCCATCCACAGGTGCTTCTATTAGGAATTTACAGATGTGCAGTCAATATAACCAAAGTCGTAAAAGTCAACGGTCTACAAAAACTTGAGGATAAAACTCATTAACTATAAGGTCTGAAATGGAAAAGAGAAGACAAAATAATAAAAAATAACAAACAAAAATGTTGTAAAAACTGTAGTCCTTATTTAATACCCTCTAAATCAACATCTTGTTTTAATATGAAATTTATGAACATGATTCGGGAAAGATAGTAAACATGGTGTTATGTGAATGCATAGTTCATTAGAAGAGAGATGTGAAGCTGAAGCTGACACCTTAGAAGTTTACAATCAAATGGAAAAAGAGAAATAGAATAGCATAGCAACTCGGGAGGGGACTTAGCTTTGTGTCATACTGATATTTCTTGTGGCACTTAGGAGAGATGGGGACACTAGTCACTTAACCAAAATAAAACAAAACAAAGAAGAAATAACAAAAATTAAGCAAAATTTCACGTTCAGGTCCTCCAGGTCTCCAGGACCCACCACCCCACTGCCTTTTTCACAGCTCTATTCTAGCTCTTCCGTCTTTCTCCCTGCTTCCTCCTGCTCCGCAAGGGTTTGAAAAGGTAGTCCATGCTAAGCTGTATATGTTAACAGTGTTGCCACAAGGAAAGGAATCCCAAATACTACTCTTACCTTGAGTTTGCACACATTGGTAACATTTTGGGTTTGAGCCTTCTTCTTGTTCCTGGGGGCCCAGGCCACAAGACCAAGTGAGAGCAGAGACAATACAAGGGGCTTTGCAGTCCTAATTTTGTGTGTTTTGACTGGGATGGATCCTCAAATATGACATCATATCAGCTAAAGTCCCCACTTTTTCTTCAACCTGATGGAAACAGGTCAATCTCTGGGCCCTACAAAAATTGAACTGTTTTCTTAAATACAAAAAGGGAAGACAAAAACTTGGAGCTCAAGGATTTTGTGCCGGATTTGAGTTGGGGCTACAGGCTTATACTAGAGTTTTTCAGAGGCTGCTTATTCAATCTGCCACCTGCTATTTCTAGCCATCTGCTAGTGGGATAGTTCCCTGCTGAATAGGTCTTCTGCCAAAGTAAAAGCTGAGAAAAAGAAGTAGTTTTTAATTTAGGCTATTTATTAGTGCTCTGGCAAAAATAAGATCTGAAGATGTTCTATGGATTTAGTCATCTAACCCTCTCCAGTCTTTTGAATGTCTTAGACTTGCCTAGAAAATGTCTCTCTCACTCTATCTTTCTCTATGGAAGTAACTCATTTGAAAGCATAAAGATAGAAATTGGTCAAATTATGTTCAGGTTGAGAGTGATCTGGCCAAAGAAAGGCATCAATCATATAGGTGCCCAAGAGACTAGATCTAATGAAATCCTCTCCACAGAAGTAAAACAAAATATGTCTTTTATTATTTCATGTTTTCCCTCACATTTTGAAATCAATCGTTGAGCTCCTCTCCTTGTAACTCTGAAAAATCTGAAGTGTAATGGCCAGTTAAAAGTTAATTTTATCTTTTAAAGAAAAAAAGCCATGACATACCAGGTGTATTGCTTAAGTGATGGAGATGCTTCCTTGTTAGCTTCTAACCTCCCTGGGCAAGTCGGGGTAGGGACCAACTTGCTCAACACTCGCTCCTCAGTGCCGGACCCCATTCATGGCCCATGGCTTTAATCAACAAAGGAGCTTTAATTAACCCAAGAATTAAAGGCTTTAATGTGCTGACCATTTTGTTAACATCTGTGGTCTGTTTGAAGAATTGTAAATTCCTTGTTTGGGGCATTTATAATCTCATTCCAAAGCAAAGGATACAAAATTGAACAATTCCCCAAGGGGGAACACTAAGTGCTAGTTGACAAGAGGTATTTCTGGTAGTAATGAGTGTTAGGCTTAGTACACTTTCCCTTTTGAAAACAAAAAAAAAACAAGATCAAGAACGTGTTTCTTCCTTTACCCAGGATTATTTTAAACCTAATTCTCATTTACAATCTAATCTTCACTCTAGGATATCTCCAATGACCACTAAAGTTAGGACCTTCCTTTTTGATGGACTTTAAAGTAAGAACACCATGACTACATCCACCCAAACACCCTTTTCTCTGCTTCATGATCAGCAGACCATTTTTAGGCTTTGAGCAAGGATAACAAAGACTGATAGGACCTAACCATAAAAGCTTCAAAGCTTAAATCAAAATCTGTTTAAAGCCATTTGCTACCTTTGTAAGGCTAACTTCAACACACAGAAATGAAAAGTCTTTTTTCTCACACTTTATTTCTGAGAATCCTAAAAAGGGAAAGTTACTCAAGACTTCCCACATCCAATATAATCCATCTCTGCACTGCAGCCCTTTAAAAGACTGATTTGTCAACAGATTAAAGGGGTCTTTAATAGTCTCTTCTGTCCCTCCTGGTACAGGCTGCTTGGTATGATCTCTCCTGTCTGAACCCAATAATCCATTTATACAACCACACCTAGATCATTCTCAACTAAGTGACAACATTAAATCAACTGAGGAAGAGGAGGGAAACACTTCCACATATATTATGAAATACAGTGATACCTCGGTTCTCGAACGCCTCGGTTTTCGACCAAATCGGTATTCGACCAGGAGATTCGAGAAACTTTTGTCTCGGAATCCGAACAAATATTTGGAACTCGAACTTCCGAGATGAGCCGAGTTGAGCCGAATGGCGTTCATTCGGCCCAGCGCGCCTTGCTTGCGTCATCAGTGTGAGTGCAGAGAGAGAGTCACGCTTTCATTGCTTCGGTTCTCGAACAATTCGGTTCTCGACCGTCCTCCTGGAACGAATTATGTTTGAGAACCGAGGTATCACTGTATACTGCCCAAAGTGCAATTCCTGCATTTCCCAGCCGAGCAGCAAATAAACTCCTTTCCAAGCCTCTATCAGTGTTAAAAAAGAAATTACACACAACTTTTGGGAGTAGTTATCTAGAAAATAATCAACTAAAAGTATTGAGATAGCCGGTGTGGCTCAGTGGCTGAGCATCAACCCATGCACCAAGAGGTCGCCGGTTCAATTCTTGGTCAGGGCACATGCCCAGGTTGTGGGCCCGATCTCCAGTGGGGGGCATGAAGGAGGCAGCCAATTGATATTCTCTCTAATCAATCTTTCTATCTCTCCCTCTCCCTTCTTCTCTCTCTAAAATCAATACAGAAAAAAAATTGAGATATTAAGGGTCCAACTTTGGGTGATGAGTTTGGAAAGAACTCCTCTGTAAATGGTTTTTGAAACAGTTCAGACAGATAAACTTGGGCCCTTTTTGGAACTGCCAGGGGCAATATGACAGGCAGGTAAGTCTCTGGAATGGGCACTTGCCTTGAATGAGTCTGCAGACTGCTGGACCAGGCTTCTCCCTTTCAGCCATGAGAAAGCAGAGAGACAAGAACACAACTAATGCATTGATTTTCCAATTTGCTTGCAAACAGACTGGCCTTTGTTCTCGCCTGCATGACCACTGGCCTGGCAGATTACATGTAGCCACTGCAGGAGTCCCCTGTGTGCCCCATGTCATCAGCTGTTTGCTCACCTCGACAGAAGCGTTATTATTGTCCAGGCCAGCAAGCTGCCAAGCTAGGCAAACTCTGTGAGTGTGGAAAAGATAAACAAACGTAACCCAAATAACCCCAACTGTCTGTGCTCCTGAAGGCAAAAGACATTCTGAACTTCCAGCCTATAAAATGTAAGTAAACTTACAACAATTTTAAAGATGAGTATTTTTTGGAGGAAGGAGCGTCACAAAAAGGAGAGAAAGAAGAAGTATACTCTCAAGTTCTAATTCTAGTTTTAAAAGCTGGTGACCCAGGGCTGAAGGGATCTCTGTCCACGGTGCTAAGCCGGGTTGCCAGGTGAAGAAGCTGTGTAGGAGGCCAAATCATGGCCAATAAAATGGCAGGAGCTGAGGCGCTGCCTCTCCTCAAAAATCAGACTATATGCAGGACTCTTCAGGGCATTTGCCTGCACTGTTGCTCAATCAAGACTGATGTTACCAGGAGGGAAGGAGAATAGAATCACAGGCTGCAAAACTGACAAGGGGGCAAACGTCTTTGAGGCCTTAGAGATATCTTGGAAGGGAAGAGTGGTTACATAAAAGATTACACAGAAGGTAGTAAAAAGTCACATGGGATTTCCTGTTTGTGACCAATTTCATAAAAAAAAAAAAAATGAAGTGGGATACAGCCTTTCTTCCATGGGATTCAAACCAAGGTTCCTGTTGAAGGCAAAGGCAGCAATGCTCATCGGCTCTGTGTCACAGATGGAAGTGCTCTTGGCTGAGTGGGGCTGAGGCGCAGGCGCCAGAGCCTGGAGCTCATCTGCTCCACTATTTAGTGGCAGCACTGGCTCTTCCATATGAACAAACAAGCTTTCGCACGTTTATCAGATCATGAGAGCCACCACCCTGAAACATGCACATGCAGCCTTCCCTCCTCCCTAGTAGCTGAACTCTGTCTCCTGTGGCAATAGGCTTTACCGATGGAGACCTCTGTCCCTGAGCTGGGCAGACATGGAGATGGGTGAATCGGTCAAGGGGGCAAGGGAGAATGCCAAGAAGACAGTACAGCTGGCTCCAAAGACTGTAATGTGGACTAGGAATTTTTTTTTTTTTTTTAATCCTCACCCGAGGACATTTTTCCATTTTTTGTTCAGGTGGAGTGAGGAAGAGAGAGAGAGAGAGAGAGAGAGAGAAACATCGACGTGAAAGGAACACATCGAGTGGCTGCCACCCGCACGACTGACCAGAGCCGGGGACAAACTGCAACCGAGGTACGCGCCCTTAGTGGGAACCGAACCCGGGTCTTTCCAGACCGCAGGCCGACGCTCTAACCACTGGGCCAAACCGGCCAGGGCTGGACTAGGAATTTTATCAATGAAGCAAAGTGTGTATAGCAGTTAGTAAAAGGTCTCAG